GAGAGTGCTCGGATAATGACCTCCGAATGGAGTGTTCGGCTGAGGATAGTGCTCGACAAGGAGACCTGTTAATGTTCAACCTAGGTACATCCTTAGCCAAGGAAGGGTACTCGGGAGGGAAACCTGTAGGGGGTTCAACCCAGGTGCATCCTTAGCCGAGGAGGGTACTCGGGAGGGAAACCTGTGGGGGGATTCGACCCAGGTGCATCCTTAGCCGAGGAGGGTACTCGGGAGGGAAACCTGTTAGGCGCGAGTTTCATCGTGTTGTGGTCGAGGGAGTCTTTGACCCAGGTACATCCTTAGCCGAGGAGGGTACTCAGGAGGGAAACCTGTAGGGGGTTCGACCCAGGTGCATCCTTAGCCGAGGAGGGTACTCGAGAGGGAAACCTGTTAGGCGCGAGTTTTGTCGTGTTGTGGTCGGGGGAGTTCTCGGCCCAAGTACATCCTTAGCCGAGGAGGGTACTCGGGAGGGAAACCTGATAGGCGCGAGTTTCGCGCTCGAGGAGAGTGCTCGGCGTGTGTTCTTAGCGATGGAGTGCTCGACCGATTAGAGTGTTCGGTTTAGTGCTTAACATGCATAGTTATGGATCGGGCCTATCTGGGCAGTAGTATATATATGAAGTTAGCAACGATATCACAAAACGAATTAAAATGTAAAGTTTTGTATATTAATTTGAGTGCCTCATTAAAAACCTTGCCGACCCAAAACCCTCTTTAGGGAAAAAAAGTCAGTCAAGGAAAAGAGTGCATGGTTATACATCAGCTATAATACATCTTTAAATGAGTAGAGTTCCAAGTTCTAGGAATGGGTTCTCCTGATAAGTGTTCTAGCTTGTACGCTCCGTTTTGCAAGTTGTGTTGTATGCGAAAGGGTCCGTCCTAGTTTGGGACGAGCTTTCCATGTCTTGGGTCTTTTCTTGCCTCACTTGTGACCCTCCAGACGAGGTCGCCTTCTTGAAACTCTCTTGGCTTAACCTTGGTATCAAATTTCCTCTTGTAACGTTGTTTGCATGCTTCGGCTGTGATAAGGGCTCGGTCTCAAATCTCTTCCACGACATCTAGGTTTGCGCGGAGTTCATCCTTATTGTTGCACTCAACAATGTGGGCTCGGCGAAAAGATGGTTCGCCGATTTCCACCGGAAGCATCGCATAAGATCCATACACTAAGCGAAAAGGGGTTTCTTGTGTGGTCGATTGAGGTATGCATCTGTAGGCCCAGAGCACCTCGGTAATTGTTCGGCCCAGACGCCTTTCACCTCACCAAGCCGCTTCTTCAACTTGGTTAGGATGACCTTGTTGGCTAACTCGACTTGACCATTCATTTGCGGGTGCTCGATAGAGGTGACCTTGTGTTGTATCCCTAGGCCGGCTAAGAACTCGTTCAGTTTTTGATCCGTGAATTGGAGGCCGTTGTCGGTCACCAGAGTTGATGGGATGCTGAATCGTGTGATGATGTTCTTCTAGAGGAACTTCTGAACTTGGTGGGCCGAGATGTTCGCTAGGGGTTCAGCTTCGATCCATTTAGTGAATAAATCCATGGCCATAGTGAGAAATTTACATTAGCCTTTGGCAACCAGGAAATGTCCGAGTATGTCCACCCCCATGTGATGAAAGGCCATGCTGGGGGATGCAATGTAGTTGTTTGGCAGGTTGGTGAATCAAGTTGCCGTATTTATGACATGGTTGACACTTCTTCACAAAATTCGAGCAATCGGTGTTCATGGTCGACCAATAGTACCCAGCGCGCAAGAGTTTGGAGACGGTCGTTCGTGCTCTGGAATGCATTCCACAAATGCCCTTGTGCACTTCACGCATTACATAATTGACCTCTGTGGGGTCTAAACACTCGAGTAGTGGGGTAGAGAAACCACTTCTATACAAATGACCTACAATGATGGCATATCTACTAGCTTGTGTTCTTAGTCGCTTCGCCTCCACCGGGTCGTCCGGCATGACCCCATGGGTGATAAATGACTTGATCTTGGATCACCAGTCTGGGGAGTCGGTGGGACCGGTGTGATCTACTTCGATGCTTCCGACTGTCTCTACTTCAATGCTAGGGTGGTCGATCTCTTGCTGAATGATGGTTCGCAGTTGGCCCAGTTTTTTGCTCGCGGCTAATCTGGCCAATTGAGCCGCTCGAGCATTATTCTCACGCGGGATGTGCTCGACTGAGACTTCTTGGAAGGTCTCCTTTATCTTTTGGTAGGCGTGGTAATATTTCATCATGTTGTGATCCTTGACTTGGAAGGTACCACCCACTTGCTCGGCTACTACTTTGGAGTCGATTAAGCACTTAACTTTCGTAACACCCATGTCCTCGGCTAGCCTCAATCCTGCCAGCAGAGCTTCATACTCGGCCTGATTGTTCGAAGCCTTGAACCGGAATCATAAGGATTGTTCCAAGATTATCCCTCTCGTCCCCTCTAGGATTACTCCCGCTCCACTCCCTTAGCTATTCGAAGAGTCATCCACATGAAAGGTCTACCAATGCTCTTCGATCGTGCCATGTAAATGAAGCTCATTTACGAAGTCTGCGAGACATTGAGCTTTGATCGGACCTCTCGGCTTGAAGACGATATCAAATTGAGATAGCTCGATTGACCAATTCATCAGTCTTCCTGCCAGCTCGGGCTTACCCAACACCTTGGAGATCGGGCAATTGGTGTGTACAACGATCTTATGGCTATGAAAATAATGCCGGAGGCGTCGCGATGTATGTACTAGGTCAAGTGCAACCTTTTCTATAAACTAGTATCGGGTCTCAGGGTCTTGTAGCAGTCGGCTGACAAAGTATATAGGCATTTGGCTGCCTTCTCTCTCTTAGACTAAGACCGAACTGATTGCCTCCTCGAAAACAGCTAGGTACAATTCCAGCGGGCTTGAGGGCTCGGGTCTCATAAGGATAGGTGGCGACGACAGGGTCGACTTCAGCGCCACAAACGCGACTTCACATGATTCATTCCACAGGAAGGTGGAGCTTTTCCGCACGAGCTTCATCATGGGGCTAATCTTGTCAGCCAAACGGGGGAGGAATCGGGATAGGGCGACCAACTTGCCGGACAACCGTTGCAACTCCTTGAGGTTGGTCGGACTCCTCATATCTAGGATATCTTTGCATTTGTCTTGGTTAGCTTCAATTCCTCTAGAGGATAGCATGAATCCTAGAAATTTTCCCACTTTGACCCTAAAAGTACACTTCTCGGGGTTGAGCCTCATATTATGCTTACGCAACTTGCCAAAGATTTCACCTAGGTCGGCCATGTGCTCGGTCATCGAATTAGACTTGACCACCATGTCGTTAACATAAATCTCGATGTTTCTTCCAATCTACCTCTGAAATACTTTATTCATTAACCTTTGGTAGGTTGCCCCGACATTCTTCTGCCCGAATGGCATGACCTTGTAGCAGAAGTTGGCAGTCTCGGTGATGAACGCCATTTTCTCTTCATCGCTTGAGTGCATCTTGATTTGGTTGTAGCCGAAGTAGGCATCAAGGAAACTGAAGATTGAGTGCTCAGATGCCCCGTTAACGAGGCGGTCGATGCAAGGGAGCGGATAGGCGTCCTTGGGGAAAGCCTTGTTAAGGTCGGTGTAGTTGGTACACATACTGCATTTCCCATTCGCCTTCTTAACCAAAACTATGTTGGCCAACCACGTGGTGTATGTGATTTCCCTTATGACATTAGCTCGTAACAACTTTTGAACTTCCACTTCCACGAACTTTCTCTTCTCGTCGCCCATCTTCTACTTCTTTTGAGCAACTGGTCGGGCATCTCGGCACACCACAAGTCGGTGGCATAGGAATCTCGGGTCTATGCCGGGCATGTCAGATGCCGTCCATGCAAATAGGTCTTTGTTGTTACGAACGAAACTCTTTATTAAGTTTGTTTTGGTTTGATTCAGTTGGGATCCTGTGTGGGTAACTTGTTCGGGTTTTCGTCCGAGCTGAAATGGAACAAGGTACTCTACTGGCTTGACTCTCTTCTCTTCACCAACCCGAGGGTCGAGGTCGATGTCATCGGCCATTTCTTGCCTTACTACATTAACACCTTTTGATGCAGGGAGGTCAGAAATGGGCCACATCTTCAGACTAGAGAATTAACACTCCCTAGCTGTCTTTTGATTGGCGTGAACGGTTATCACTTGTCCATCCCTCGATGGGAACTTCATGCATAGGTGAGGGGTCGAGACAATGGCTTTGAGGGCGTTGATGGATGGTCGCCCTAGCAGGATATTGTAGGATGTGTTGGCGTGCACCACAATATAGCGGATCTTGACATCTCGGAATGTCTTTTGGTCAAACCCAAAACGGGTGTATAACTCGATGCATCCTCTCGTCATCGCTCTTTCCCCTGAGAATCCTACCAGGGGTTCATGATATGGTTCTAGGCTCTCCTCCGAAATCCCCATTTGCACAAAGGTGTTCTAGTATAGGATGTCTGCTGAGCTCCCTTGGTCGACTAGGGTTTTCATCATAATACAATTGTGCACTTCAACAAAAATTACCATTGGATCATCCTGAATGGAATCAAGCCGCGAAAGTCCCAGTTAGAAAATTTTATTGGCAGCATTCGGGGTGCCTTCGGGTGATTCACAATGTTCACCGATCGTACGGCCCGAAGGTGTCTTTTTCGTGTTGAAGAGGTGGATCCTCCCCTAGCGAAGCATCCGACTATAGTGTTTATCACTTTCCTTCGTTGGTCATTATCTTCCAGGGAGCGACTTGAATGGTCCCTTCGCTCGGCTGAGCGGGATCGGCGTCGGTGATCTCTCGCCTGTGGGGCTTCGCGAGAGTGATGGTACCTCTCCTTTGTTGCTTAGTGGTAGTCGGTCGTCGGGTTGTGGTCTTGGAGGGTGACGAAGCTCTTGAGGTGACCATGCTTGATGAGGTCCTCCAACTTGTCTCTCAGTGCTGAGCATTCTTCAGTTGAGTACCCTCTATTTCGGTGGAATCGGCACGTCTTGGCCTTGTCTGCTTTGGGAGGAGTGTTCGCCCTTTACGGCATAATGAGGATCTCAGAAGCGAGGGCCTGTTCCATTACCTTGGCCCTACTCGCGTTGAGGGGGGTGTACGCCGCATAACGCGGTCCTCTCGGGGGCTGAGTGCTCGACTGCTCAGTATTCCCCTTTTTCATCGGCTCTCGACCAGATTCTCTTCGATTGTAACCCTCTTCGGCCCTGGCCTGATTTCTGGTCTCGACCAATTCTTTCATTTGCATGTACTTTTCGGCTCGACGTTGGAGATCGTTCATATCTCCAGCTGATTTCTTGCATAGGCTATTCACAAACGGTCTCGGTCTCAGTGAAGTATTCGGTCGGTCCATCGCCACGGCTGGGTTGAGGTCACCGATCTCCATGATGATTTTGTTGAACCGGTCCATAAAGCTTCTTAAACTTTCCTTCTTCTCTTGTCGAATCCTTGCCAGTGCTAGGGAGGTCGTCTTGTATGGCTTGCTCGTTGCAAATTGTAGGGTGAATTGCGACACCAACTCACTGAACAAGTCGATGGAGGAGTTTGGTAATCGCGTGAACCAACTCAAAGCCCTTCCTTTCAACGACGTAGGGAATATTCGACACAACGTGGAGTCATCTTGAGTTGAGAGGGTGACTTGCATCAGGAAAACATTCAGGTGCTCCTCTGGGTCAGTCGACCCGTCATATTTCTCGATTGGCATGCTCTTCTAGTGGTCCAAAAGGGTGGCTTCCATTATCCTCCGGGAGAATGGGTGCCTTAAGGAATTGGCAGCGGTGTCGGCCTTGCCGCTTATCAAGGAGGTAATAGGTGTTCAGTTGACATGGTCGGTTAGGGCGTGATAGGCGGATTCTTCCAGAAGCGTGGGGGTGGACAGCACATAGGTTTGGTTCAAACTCCAGAGTTCGACGTTCTGTCGACGAAGCTTGGCCAACTCCCTGGCGTCGGCTTCTCTCTATCTACATATAGCTGCCATCTCCTCACGCAATATGCACGTCATCATGGAGGTTAGGCTGGGCTTCGACGTTCGGTCGACCCTCTTGTGTTATAGGCTCCGGTTGTGTTTGAGGCATTCCGTATGGGTATCGTTGTTGCCCGGTCATGCCGGGATTGTGCTCAGGGTTAGGGATTGGTTGAGTTGATGTTGACGGTCCTTTGCGCGTAACTACCATCTCTTTGTCTCGGTCGGTAAAGTCTATAGGGGCTGAAAAAGTCTTCGGCCCCACGGTGGGCGCCAAATGTTCCTGTATTAGGAGACACATGTTGTTATCCGAGTCATTGTAGTCTAGGTCTTGGGTCTAGGTCTTCTCGTTTCGTTCTATGTAGTCCGAAAGGGGGGTGCCTGCAAAGACACTCCGACGCTCAGGTAAGTGATCGGCGTAATAAATGCGGTAGTTCAAAGTTGGTTACGTTCCTCGTTGAAGGTCTATTTATACTAGTTGTTGTTGGGCCGTGATTAGGGAATGTGCCCCGAAAAATTAGGGGGATAAATCGGTGTATCAAGTAAATTAATCTCGTCCTAATTCACCTGGCTTAACTCCGTGTCCTCGAGTATGAGAACCTAATTGGCCGACCCCAATACGACCGGGTCGGCCGGGTTAGTTGCACTGGGTTGGTTCGGTCTAGTCGGTCATACTAATGTTATCGGCCTGGTCGGTCATCCCGTACACTAATTTTGAAAATCTCCCGCTACCTAGAATAATAGGTACATTAATAAAGTCTTCATCGCATAATAATAGAAACAACAAAACAGAAAACTATCAATAAGATATATCATAATAAAAGCTCTATTATAAAAACATGTTCAAATTTCAGGTAAAATAAAACATGCTTACCCTACCGAATCATCTTTAAAAACCCTCTAAATTTTCAAATTAGGAGTGACAATGGAGTTACCTAAGAGTGAGTAGTAGATCTCCATCCCTTGTCTATCAAACAAAATTTTGTCTTATACTTGTGTGGATTAATTAAGTGGATATTCATAAATTTTATTAATAGTCATATTTTTTTTATAGATATTTATAAATATTTATAATTTTTTATTAAATTAAAAATATATGTTGAAAATTGTTTAGAACTTATATTTAATGGTAATTTTATTGTAATATTAAAAATAAATAATTGACGTTAATTTTAAACTTGTATTTAATATTACTTTTGTTTAAATATTAAAATAATAAAAAGGTAAACAATAACTTAAAATATATGATTTTCATAAATCCAAACAAAAGTCTTTACTCACAAAGTTAAAGTAATTCAATTTCATAATTTGAAAAAAAAAAAGTCAGCCGAAAGAAAATAACAAAAGAAGTATGAGAGGTTAAATGTTTAAGCTACCGAATCACCAGAGTTAATCTACAGAAAAAATAATGAAATAATATGCACAAACATGTTGTTATTATTGTAATTTATTTGAATAAAAAAACTAAGGTTATTTACTTATATATTTATAGTGAAAACTTCCTTTAAGATCTTTTTAAATGGATACAATCTCTTATATAAGTGTTAGGCATACTCGAAAATCATGTGACTCGAAAAGATTGATAGCGCTGCCTGAGAAGTAAAATCAACACATGATGAAATTATGGGACTCGAAAAAACAAGTGTTGCTCGAAAATAGTTGAAAAGTTGAGACTGTCAGAACATGGAGGTTAAGCCAAAACGGTTACTAAAAAATCAATCGAGAAAACAAGGAACGTGGGAAGAGCGGTTAAAGGAAGTTGAGTCAAGACCACGTAGCAAATATAGTGGATAGCGGTTATGAGTCAAAAGCGTACATGTACAGAATTAACCGCCCTTGATTGCTCTATAAATACAAGGAGTACGGACCTTTACTGGGGTCGAAAAACTCATACTAGAATTGGACTCTGAAGCACTCTCTGCCTACACACACATATGGCTTTCGTGCACAAGATCGTTTTTGGGTATGACTGACTCTCGGCCACTTTTTT